TTTCCAAGAGCAGTATGTGAAGAGCTAGGGAGGAGAGCATGTGATGAGCACTGCTTCTTGCATGAAGAGTAAGCTGTCTCATGCATGTTCTTCATGCCTTGTAAATCTATGGCCATCCTACTTGTGTAATAAAAACATGCTGTAGCTTAGGGTGGTGCCCTTTGTTTTTGTTCTGCTAGATTTGTACAATCAACTAAAAAATAGGGGTGTCTGTTCTTCTGCTGTTCTGTGTGAGTGGACAGCAGTGGAGGACACAAGAGAGTCTACATGCTGCATTGAAACGACATTTCATAGGCCTGGTTTTTAATCTGGATGTATAAAGTCAAGGCTTTCAGTTAAAGATTCATGGGAAGGGCACTTATTTATTAAGTAGCTTGCTTTCTTTTTTTATTTTTCCCCCCTAAACTGTTGTCTCTGACAGGCAGGTCAAAAAATGGAAGTGGAATTGATGGAAGAGCCTGGCAAACAGTTCTGCTCTCAGTATTGTATATAAGAGAATGATGGATTTTGCAGTTCAGACTCTGGTCTTCAGATAATCAATTCCCTCTCACGGTCTTTACTTTTGGCAAGTTGTTTATTGAAGTTTCTTAGTCTATGAAGTGGGGCAGTTTCCTGATCAACTTGATCATAAGCAGTTTGAAAAGAGGACAGCCATATAGTAATTGTCAAAATTACTTCTCACCACTTCTGCAAAGCAAAAGTAAAGTACGCTTACAGCTAGTAATCTCATGGGGTGTGAAAAGTAGGGCCAGATCATAAAGATTCGTGTCTGTGACAACTGTAGTACCTTGCAATGCCTGTCTGCCTTGATCCTTGATTGATAGCACTTGCAAGCTGTACCTTTGAACTGCTTTAAAAAAAAAAAAAAAAAGAGAGAGAAGATTGATTTCTTTGTCACATCATCCAGTCTGTTTCCTTGTTAAAACAAGGTTGTCCTGCAGGGAACGTGATAGCTGAGTCTGCTGTGTTTCTCACAGATGAAGTGTGGTCCTTGGGCTTCTGGCAGATGGCCAAAGCATTTGTGGCTTGGTAAATCCTGGATGTTAAGTTATTTTATTTGGCACACTAATGGCTGGCATGCATACGTTTTACTAGCAGGAAGAACTGAATTATGCGCAGAGCTTAAAATCAAGGGACAAATATTCACAGTTAGCTGTTTGGAGATTAGTGGGGGTTTACTGCATCCAAGAAAAGTTTGGGGGAATGGTTTTTAGTTTTTATATAATGAGTAGCTAGAAAATAAGTTCTTATTCCTGCTTGAGATAAGAAAAAAATTAATACATAGATCAGCTATCAGGACTTTGTCAAGATTCTAGGGGTCCAGGCTGCTTTGGAGTTATTTGCAAATGCACTTATTTCAAGAGTAGTGAAGGGGTCAATTTTCTTGGAAGAAGTAGTCTAGTTTCTTTTTTTTCTTTGGAGTTATGTCATTTTATGCTGTGGTTTTGGCTACACTTGTTTAAAAGCAGACAAATATTTTGTACTTTAAAATTTTTAGAGTCTTTAGGACTCTTAAAACTGTATTCAAATTATCTGTGTTCTTAGCTTGGTGCCTATCTTGTTTCTTAACATTTCTCCCTTTTTGGTTTTAGAAGTGTCTAACAACTGTTTGGCTTCTCCTGGCTTCTGCTTGCTGGGTTTACAGGGAAGATTTCTTGACAATCAGAGTGGTGCAGCTTGCATGTGTGAGCTGCTGGCTTCCTGTCCTGCTCCAGGTGATGCAAGAGTCCTAGCCTATGCAGACAGTATTTATGTATTTTATTTCAGGGAGGTGGTGGTGGTTTTTAAACTACTGACATTGTGCCAACTTCTTTACCAAGCAAGGGAAGAAGTTACTGCTTAAAACTTTACAGCTGAAACTGCAAAGCCAGTCCCTTAGCTGTGTGAAATTTCTTGCCCTAAGAGTAATTGGTGTTTTGGTTACGGTGCAACTGGAGGAGAAAAGTAAGAAAATGACAAAGAAGTTCAAGGGCTGACTATGGATTAAAGTGGGGCATGAGCAGATGAAAGCAGTGAAAGAAATATGTCTTGTTGCTGCTTCTGAGAATCTCTTAAATTGGAAACTTCTTATAGGTAAATGATGTTGAGGTTGAAGATCCAGAACAGAAATGTGTCTGATGCTTCAGCATTATGGGTTTCCAAGTTCCTTACCTGTTCAGCTCTAGCAGTCTAGAGTTAGCTAGAGGAATTTTGCATTATAATAAGTCTTTATTAACCTTGTACTGAACATGATGTCAAATGGAGAATGTGAGGGGTTTTTTAATTTCAGTCCTCCTACCCATTGAGAAAATATTCGATCTGTGCATCTCTTACAGCTGAAGCATGATTTTCCTGAGTCTGTGAATATTCAGAGGTGTAGATGTGCTTTTCCAATTAGCATTTCTGGTGCTGTCACCGAAACTGGGAATAAACCTCTTAACACCTATGTAGCATTAAGAAGCAGACACTCTCTTTATTAGAGCACTGGATGCATGGAGGAACATTCCACCCAATGTACATGCCCTAAAACAAAAGTCCATCCTTTATATACCTCAAAGACGTGAATATTCATACATTTTCTGAGAAGTCTCCACCTCTCCACCTATATACTGCGTTTACATAATGCTGGTGTTGCAAAACTACACTACACATGTGTGGGGTTCTTGGGTGGTTGTCAGTGGTTGTTTGGGGAGTTAGCCCCCCACTCCTTTTTCCCTTTTATGGTTAGGAGTCTCCCAAAGATGATTTCTTCTTGGATGTTTCCCAACTGTGTTGTCTGGCCAAGGTTTTCCATATTGGTCTTGGTTGAGCCAGGATGTTTCTGTTCTCAAGGTTAGGATGTCTTCTTTGTACAGATTAATTACTTATTTGGCTTATTAAATTCATAGCTAACTGTTGTTTAGTAAGAGTTTCTTGACATTTCCCTGCTTTGAGACTTCCAAAGTGAGATTTGTTTGGGAGTCTCACTTAGATTGAATAGTTGTAATTTTAAACACCTACATAAGTCCATCATCTTTACTTTGCATATGTACAATTCAGACACATTCCTTCTTGGAACTTATTTATAATTCCCTCCCAAATAGATTTTATTCTTTGTTGTTGCTTGATTAGCAAGAGAAGCGCACATAAATATTACTGTACTAACAATAAGTGGGACCTTTTTAACACATAGAGACAAGTCTGGGAGCCAGGAAGTCAGCCAATTCCATACCTCTTGAAATCCCAAAGAGGAATCTTTTTGTATTTCATGTAAGACTGTGGTACATTTCCAAATCTCACTAAGATCTGTAGCAATTTGTTTTGATTTATCTACGTATACACAACAACTTGTGTTTACCACAGTACAATCACCACCTTGAGATGCTAACAGCATGTTGAGGCCAATTTGATTTTGAATTGCAATTTCACTGATCTGGGAAGCTTCCTCCTGTAAGGCCATGATTTCATATGTAGTCTTGTTTTCAATGAACTCCAATTCTGCTTAAATATTTACTATAGCTTTTTCTAATTCAGTAACTCCTAACCAATTAGGAACCATCTTACAAATGAGTGCTAAACAATGGGTCGTTTTATTAATGATTTACTTCTCATATGAATTTTCATATAGGGTCTTAATCACAAATTTTTTCTAATCTTTTTACAACTGTAATATTTGGAACCAGTGCTCCTAGGGTGCATGTTCCAGCCTAGTTAGGGGGTAAGTTTTTTTTTTAGCACTATGACCACGTAACCAATACCACCTACTTCCTCTGGGTGTAGACCAATATCCAGTTGGTATAAACTTCCATTGAAACTGCATAAACTAACTACAGTATGGATAATGTCACACTGATGCATTCCCAGATGATAGGGTCTTGTTTGTTGTTATACATTTCACATCTGGAAATCTTGGGATCTCTAATTCCCAATTCTGGGGTCTACATCTTCAAATTCTAAAAGGTTGGATCTAATCCGTAAGTTATTGCTGGACATGTTAAATGGAATAGGTACTCCCAAAATGGAAATTCTTTTATTGGATTGTTCAGGAAAGTGATCACAGACCCAACAATTGGTTCTATTGGCTGCCCTTACTGTCTTTTGGATCATAGTGGAGTGAACAGTCTGATCCCAGGGATTTTGATGGGTTACTGCCAGTATCCAACTCGTGAAAGTACATATGCATATTAAAAATTAAAGAGTTCATGCCTACGAAGAAACCTAAAAGGTAGTATCAAATCAAACTCAATTAAAAAACTGAAACATGGATGCACTGGATACACCAGCACACATTCAAGTTCAAATATTGTTTAAATGAGTTCTAAGTCCACTACATACACTTTTTCATCGGACCCTTAGTTTCAAAGGCTTATTTTTCAGTAGTTACATTTCCCAGCTGCCAGGTGCAGGCTCCTTCTTGACTCGGGTGTAATGGATCCAAGACTTGAGTCTATCTAGCTTAACAGTAGTATATGCTTCCAGGAGAATTTGGAATGGTCCCTTCCACTTTTGTTGGAAAGGCTTTGAATTTCACGACTTTATGTAAACCCAGCCTCTGGGCTAGTGTTGGTGAACTGAAATATCTAGGATGAGAGGCTCTACTAGTGCCATGTGTTTTTGGAGAGTTGCAAGAGTTTTTCATATGGAAACCAAATAAGATTTTAAGTCCATTTCCCCTTTTGCATGATCTTCTCCTGGGACTGATGGTATTTGATACAGCTTTCCATACACCAGCTCATAGGGGCTAATCTTATTGCTAGACCCTGGCTGTATTCTAACCCTTGGAAGTGCTAAAGGAAGTGCCTCTTGACATTTCAAGGGAGTTTCCTAGAGTATTTTACTTAGTTGTCACTTCAGAGTTTGATTTATCCTTTCTACCTTTCCACTTGATTGCGGTCTCCGTGGTGTGTGTAGATCCCACTGAATTCCTAGGACCTGACTCAACTCTTGAATTACTTCTGCTGCAGAACAGGGTGGGTATTTGACCATCTTGTTTTTCTTATCTGTTCAATGATGACTTAAATCTCCTGATTTTTTTCCCCCAGTTATTTGTAGTAGATGTCCAGACTGGTCAAATTACCAAGATTCCTATTCTGAAAGATCGTGAACCCGGCATGGTGAACCAGCAGGGATGTGGTATTCATGCCATTGAGCTCAACCCCTCAAGGACCCTTCTGGCCACAGGTGGAGACAACCCCAACAGTCTTGCAATTTATCGTCTGCCAACGCTTGATCCTGTCTGTGTGGGAGATGTAAGTGGGAGTATTTGAGGAGTGTTTATTCTGTCACTTACAAGAATTACTACTTTGAAGTGCTTAGTGTCAGAGCAGGATTAAGATTTGGGAGTATCGTAGTTGAGACCGAATTTCTGAAAGCTTGAAAACATTCCTGATTAAATTGTCTTTTTTGACAAGATGTCTTAAATATGAGTGAGTACACAAACTTGTGAGATGATTCTCAGGGTTCCGAGTCAGCTGTCTTCTTCCTCATACTCATTCAAGTCTACTTGAAATTACTTTTAAGCACTGAAAACGTAACAAAATCCCAAATGTTAAAGTCTAATTGTGATGAGCTCTGAAACTAGTTTTAGTGAAAAAGCTATTTTGAAAAATTGAAAAGATGATACAAGCTGCTCAAATTTTCCCCTCCTCTAGTGCAGCTTATGTGTGTATTATTCCAGAAGTGGAACCTGGCTTTGAGGATTAATTTTCTAACCCAGTGGTTTACAGCAGTTTAATAGACTCTGGTACTGCTTATATTTCTCAAACATCACGAGTCCTTTTTAAAATAGCCAGTCTTAAAAAGAAAGAAGGCTGAAATGACTTCCGTGATATCCGTAGTTCTCTTTCATTTCTCCTTTTTATTCAGGACTTCACACAGACATTAACTACAACAGCAGAGGTCAGGTCAGGGTTTCTGCAGTAGCAGATAACCAGCTGCAGAAAGGCTTGACTCTAAAGATTTGTATGATTTGCTATCCATTTGCGTCCTATTGTGACTTTGCAGCTTTTCAAACAGAACTAGAGCCTTATGGGGTTTTTACCCTCACAGGTTTCTCACCTGCTAAAGAAAAGATTGTTGAAGTAATAGTCTTGAAATATTAATCTGTAGGTGACATAGTGTAAACATAAGATTTTGGTTATTTTTTATATTAGGGATGTGCATTTGATGAAATAAAACCATGTAGCTATTTTACCCAAGTAAATAATGCTGCTTTCAGGATGGAAAAATCTAAGTCCTTAGAATTGAGATCAATTTGTCCTTGGTCAGAGACCTGTTTTTCCATAACCTAATTGGTCTCTATTAATTACACACTTCAAAATAAAAGAAAAATTAAAATTACTGTTAAGTTCTTAAACTGCTCCAGCTTGATACTGGAATCTTATCTATATGTTTTTAATGTAGGTCTGTCCTTCTGAGTTTATACTAAAAATTAAAGTGAAGAATACTTGCTTGCTTTAAGACTGCTCTAGAGTGTAATGGCACAGAAAAATCTTGTCTTTTTTTTTTATTTTAGGATGGACATAAGGACTGGATATTTTCAATTGCGTGGATCAGTGATACTATGGCTGTTTCTGGTAAATTTTTTTTCTCCCCTTCTCTTTTGAATTCTATACTGATGTGCAGCACTTGATAGGTATTAGGGAAGCACCTTTGTCAGGGCATTTGAAACCATTCTGAACTACCTTGGCTATTTAAACCCTTCTTGGTTTTAGTCAAGAGTTTCACTTTGATTTATTTGTAGGGCTCTGGTCTGGATTTGATTTTTCTTTTATCAGAGGTAATATTCCTGTCTTTCCAGTAGGTGTTTCCATGAGAGGATCTCTAAACACAAAGAGTTGCAGGGAAGGATTCTACACAAGAAGAATTATTCCAAGAGGGATATTGGTTATCAGTGAATAACTTTAGAATAACGAGCAATGTTGGTTTTCTGAAATCCTATGAAAGACTAATTAATGAAAACTCAGTTTGTTTGGTCAAGCTATCAGTACAGTTGTGTGTGTATATGTTGTGGTTTGAGCTCAGAGGGCAACTAAGTACCATGCAGCTGCTTATTCTGCCCTTCCTCCCCAGTGCTGGGACAGAGAAAATAAGCTGAGATAAGGACAGGGAGGGATGACTCACCCATTACAGTCATGGGCAAAAGACAGACTCATTAGGGGAAGGAAAAAATGAACATAAATTTAATACAGACATTAAGAACAAATACATTTAACAGACAGATTAGGACAGTGAGAAGCATTACACATTGTCCTGGGTTTGAGTGAGTGATGGGGTTTTTTGGTAGCAGGGGAGGGGGGCTATAGGGGTGGCCCCCTGTGAGAAGCTTCTTGAAGCTCCCCCAGCTCCAAGTCAGCTCCACTTCTGCATGAAAACTGAGCCAGTCAGCTGTGCATCTGTGGGAACGTATTTCAGAAGGGATGTGGTGAAGGGGGAGTTGGACTTGTGAGGAGGAGTTGCAGCAGCTGTGTGAGCAGCAAGGTCAGTGGAGGAACGCAGGAAGGAAGGAGGGGGGAGGTGTGCCGGAGCAGAGACCCCCCTGCATCCCGTGGGGAGACGGCAGGGCGGCCCCCCCTGCCACCCATGGAGATCTGTGGTGGAGCAGGCACTGATGGATGGCCTGTGTTTGTCACCTGGGTGATCAAGGTGCTGTGCCTGAAGGAGGCTGGGGTCTTGTGGGAAAAGGGAGACCCTCTGTTGTAGTTCAACGCTGGGAGGACTCCAGCGTGCGGGAGTGTCCCACGCCGGAGCAGCTCGGGAAGGGCTGCAGCCGTGGGAGGGACTCCAGTTGGAGAAAGTTAGTGACCCACGACAGAGCAGTGTGGGGAAAGCTGCAGCCCATGGGAGGAACTCATGTCGGATGAAGTTTGTGGAGGACTGTCTCCTGTGAGAGGGGGACCACAACGTAGCAGGGGGAAGAAGTTCTAGAAGCTCCACCCACTGAAGATGCCAGAAGTGGCAGCGCTGACTGCACCCCCCATTCCCTGCCCCTGCGCCACTGGGGGAGGAGGTAGAGATATCAGGAGCAGAGCTGAGCCCGGGAAGAAGGGAGGGGTGGGGGGAAGGTGTTCTCAAGATGTGGCAATGCTTCTCACTGTCCTACTCTGTTATGTGTTGTTACTGTCTGTAATAATGTATGTTCTTTTTTTCTTCCCCTAACGAGTCTGCCTTTTGCTCGTGATCATAAAGGGGGATTTTTTCCCCATCCCAGTCCTATCTCGAACCCCAAGCCTGGCTCTCTGTCCCTTCTTATTGCTGGAAGAGAAAGGAGAGAGAGAGTGACTGTGTGGTGTTGGGCTACCAACCAGGCCTAAACCACGACACAGATCTTGAAAACACCTCCCTTCCACCCCTCCCTTCTTGCTAGGCTCAGCTCTGCTCCTGATATCTCTACCTTCTCCCCCAGCGGTGCAGAGGGCAGGGGATGGGGGGTGCAGTCAGTGCTGCCATGTCTTCTGTCTTGGGGGAGTGTGGTACTTCTGAAACTTCTTCCCCCTGTTTCAGCATGGTCCACCTCTCACAGGAGGCAGTCCTCCACAAACTTTCTCCACCTTGAGCCCCTCTCACGGGATACAGCTCTTCCCGAGCTGCTGAGGTGTGGGACAGCCCCTCATTGCAATCCTACCAGTGCCTATAACAGTGAGGGCTGCTTCTTCCCACTGGATCCTGGTCTCCTTCAGGTTCAGTCCCCTTAAATAGCATGGGGACCCCTGCAGACCGTTTGTCAGCATGTGCTCCACTGTAGCGGCAGCAGGGGGGCTGTCCTGCTGTCTCACCATGGCCTGCAGGGGAAACTGCTCTGGCACACCCCTTCCACCCCTCTTTCCTTTTGTGTTCTTCCACTGACCTTGGGGTTCACATAGGTGTTGCAAGTCTTCCTCACAAATCCCACTATTCCTTACAGGTTTCTCTTCTTAAATACATTATCAGAGAGGTGCAGCTAATAGGCTCGGCCTTGGTGCAGAGGTGGGTCCAACTTGGAGCTGGCAGAGCTTCATTCAAGAAGCGTCTCACAGGGGGCACTGCTGTAGCCCCCTCACCTGCTACCCAAAAACCCCACCACTCACTCAAACCCAAGACAATATGTATATGTATACACTCATATACTATAGCAGTTAATACAAAAGGCTGTAATAGAAAAGGTCAGTTATTGTTTTTTTAGCAACTAGTGGATAATCAGTGTAACTTCAAAAATATTACTTAAGTAAAGGCAGCAATATTAATATCCTGCTGCATTAATTTAGTAGTTTACTGTCTTTCTGTGCTGACAGGGTGAAATGTTCTGTACAAGGAGGTGTCAAACTGCAGGTGAAAGAATCTTAAGTCTCATAAAAATCAAATTTGTGAATTGTTAGTTCAGTAAGATTTTTGATTTTTTTTTATTTTTTATTTTTTCAAAACCCAAATAGTCCTGGAATTTTATTTTGAATTTAATGTAAAGGTTGATACTTGCAAGCCTCCAACCTAAAAAACCCACTGTCAGCTAATAAGATTAAAGAGAACAGCAGAGATGATTAGATACCCAAGGGAGAGATGAGGACTGAATGGAATAGAGGCACAGCATGTGAGATTAAACTGCGTTGCTCTCAGTGTTTTCTGTATGCTCAGGGGTGGACGTGTGAGTAGAAGACAGCCGTGTTAGTTGTTTTATGATGTGTATAACAGGATGTAGGTTCTAGTCTCCAGACCTGAGACACCAGAGAAAACTTATTGAAAACAATCAACAAGTCTAATTACTAAACTGAGTTCTTCAGAACTTCACTGATGATCCAAATCAGGAGAAAACAAAGACAACTGAATTCTGATGCTTTAATCTTATGGATTTCAATTACATTTATATCTGAAAATGTGGAGCAGAAATATTTGAACTCCAAATATTGAGGATATAGCAAATACATTTATCTGAATTAAGAAAATAAGTGCAAATTTTTTTGTGATTTCTTTGGGGCAGGTTAAAATGTCACAGGAATAAAAAAGAGCATTTGGTCCCAGGGATGATATAGTTTGAAGTTAGAGGTTTGGCAGTATACTTTCTTATTGCCGTCAAAACTGTTGAGAGAGCACAGAGAGGACAAGGGGCTTGATTATTCTTCTTGTTTGTGTTAACAAGGACAAGACAGGGCTCTGCTTTTGAAACCTGCGGCAGTGTGTCACAGTAGTCCATAAGCATAGAATTAAGCTCTTGACTAAGCAGCCTTAACTGAGGGAGGATGCATCAGTCCACTCAGTTGTTCTGATTGGACAGAAAGATTTCCATGGCAAAAGCTTCAGATTGGGTGAATAATTCCCAGGATAGCATGAACCTGAGATGAGAAATTATATTCTCTTGGTTTTAGGGCTAACCAGTTGAACAATATACATTGACTTTTTAACCTGTTAGGGCTATTAAAAGGGACAGCTTCCTCCTGAAGTAGTCAAGATGTTTAGAAATTTTACTGCTGAGTATTCAGCCTCGAAACAAACAAGATTAGGTGCCATTAAAAACCATCAGCATGTGAATTGAGTGGCAGGATGTTGTGTCATGTGCTGCCTGCTGCTATGCAAGTGCCATTAGGAAGCTCCTTTTGTGTTTGGCTGTAGTAGGTGTTAGTGGCAAACGACTGAATCCATCTGCGAGGGGACAAAGCCCTCTCTGCTGTGCTGGACTGCCAGGATTGAGAGACGGGACACAGCTTGATGCAAGCAGAATGTCAATCATATTATGATTCTTCACATACTTTTATACTAGTTCCTAGATGACGTGTTACAAACTATTTGGTTTCTTCAGACCATGCCAAAGACTGATTGGCTTACACTCCACACTATGCATTCACAGACTGGCTAATGCCAAAGGCATCTTTCTAAGCACCCACTTTATCTACAACAATCTATCTTGAACAGAGACAATAGTTCCTCATTTACTGGGTGGTTGTTTTTTACAGCCTCACCCACCCATGATTCTTATGTAAACATCGAGCCAGCACTCTGTTTCTTCTAAACAAAGTTCTTCCCAGGGCTTGTGGTTGACAAGTTCCAGCATGTCTATCAGTTGTGCAGTGCTGGGGGTTTTGCTGAGAGCAGCCAAACCCTGCCCCACACTGGACCACCGGTATTGGCGGTCTTTTCAGTTTATTCCCTATGATGTAACAAAGCCTGTAAATTTAATAGTCTGATGTAGATATTTAGTCTTTTCTGGTATATTCATTATGCATTTCCTGTGAGAGAAAGAGGGATGTATTTTTCACATTGTGTAGGGAAGAAATTGAAGTATGTGGCAAATCTGTCAGAGCTGACTTAAATGGAAGTGAGTTGCTCTAACACTAGAAGGGATGGGTACAGAGCTTTGAATTAAGCCCGTGTTGATCTATGAACAAACACATTCAGCTTTCTTTATCTGGTATTGGTATTCTCATCGATTCACATTTTGGATTAATGTATTCAAATTTAATAGACAAATAAAATGAGCTCTTGCTTGTTCAACCTCAGTTACCATATTACATTCTTTAAACAAGAAGTTGCACAGGTTTTAGGAAAATAATTTTATAAATAGACTTTATCCAAGTTGGTACAAATCATGGTTTCAAATAGCTGTTTTTGTTCAGTTCAGAAATCTGTGTGTACATATCCGTAAGTATACTGGTACAAATCAAATTAACCCAAATTGACATAAAGCCAAATTGTTAGCGGTTGCAATCGCGAAAGACCTTATCTACACAAAGCAGATAAGCCGGCACTTCTTTATCCCAGCGCTGGGGAACACGGGGGATAGCTCCACCAAAGGCGTGTTCACCAACAGGTACAGAGCGCAACATATTGCTGCTCTTTTTCAGTAGAGTCATGGTTCCATAAGATGAACAAACCTCGTAAAGTTTCGTTTGCCCTCAGTCATGTTAATGATTGGCTCTCAGTTACCTCACCTTACCTGTGTTCCTGTTCTACAGAAATCATGGGTCATCTTTACAGATTGATTTAAATGGAATGGGGGGAGGGCAATGATTAGCATATTCATGTTATATCCTGGGAATCATTATCATATGCAAATGTCCCTAACGCATGCGTGGTTATACTGGACGGGGATCCTCTGGTGGTTGTCGATAGTCTTCATCACTGTGTCGGCTGATTGAACTCCATCCTTGCACATGCTCATTTTATCTTTGGCTAATGCTCACCTCTCCTTTGGCCAATCTTCCCAACCAAACCAGTTTTCCTCTGGTACCTATTGTTTCAAGTCAAGATCCATAACCAGTACCTATTGTGTTAATTCAGAGTCCATAACGATTCCTATAGTGTTCAAGGCACACAGCATACTAGTTGCTTAATCCTAAGGGCCTTAGTGTACTTTATATTCTCATAGCTACTGTAGCTTCATGTTAAATCAAAATCATACTTTTAAACTAAAATCAAAATAATATTCTAGGATTCAAACTGTTTTATTAAGGTAACTGCAACAAAATGAGTTTTCTTGGAGGTTTTCATATTGGCTGAACAGACTGTCACTCAGCTTTGGTAAACTAGGCTGAACACATAGGCTATTGAGTCACCTCTTAATTTACTCTGTGTGTGAATCTCTAATGGTTATTGTACAGTATTGTATTTTTTGATGCACCCTAATCGGTTTGAAAACAGTTGAGGTGATCTAGCTGCTTGGAAACCGTGTAGGCAAACTGGTTGACAATGAGTTATGTATTATGAACTTTACATCTCAGTAAAATCACATTCTTGTTAATAATAATATATAGGCACCAACAGTGTGTTCAGTTAGATTAAATTAATAGTATTCTTTCTTTCTTTCAGACTCTATTGTTTGTTTCTTTTTTTAAAGGGGGAGTTACTTATATGTGAAATGGACTGTTGTTTTTGGACTATTTATTCAGGTTCCCGGGATGGTTCGATGGGTCTCTGGGAAGTCACAGAGGACGTGTTGTCCAAAAGCGATGCCAGGCATAATCTCTCTCAAGTTCCTGTCTATGCCCACATAACACACAGGGCTCTGAAGGATATCCCCAAGGAGAACACCAATCCTGACAACTGCAAAGTTCGAGCATTGGCTTTCAACAATAAGAACAAGGTCAGTAAGATGAGCAAGACAGTTGAGAAGACCTAAAACTGTCCACATGTATTTGAAAAAGAAAAATGTTTACAAGAAGCAGATAAAGCACCAAACATCTCTTGTTCCTTGAATCCTGCTTTTGAGTGCTTTTGCTTCTTTCCTTCCTTTTTCACGAAGACTACTTAACATTCAGGCAGTTCCTGTTTTGATGACTGGATTGTTACTGGATTGCTCAGTGAGGTGACTCAGGGCAGGCACCAGTGCTTGCTTTGGTGTTATTTTGTTGGCATCTGACGAACAGTAAATATTAACTTCCACCATGCTGATCTCTTGTTATTAATACTGGGACTAGCAATTTATCCTCCACTACTTTCCTTTCTGCCCTCAAAGAACAGAGGAGGTTTGAAGCAAAGGTGGGTATGCTGTCAGAAGCATGGTGCTCCCTGAGGGCTTTATTTTTCACTATAGCTTTTAATTACTCCTCTGTGATGGAGACTTCATATAGCTTTTTCAGTAGAGTAGAACCCGGAAAGAAATGTTTGCTTTGGGGTCAGAATCGATGTGGGAGCTGCTGAAAAGTATTGTCAGCACTAGCTTGTACTGTCTAATAATTCATTATTTGTTTGTCTAACAAGATCTATACTTTTGAAAGTTATTTTTGGTTATTTACCCTTTCATTAATTCTTATTCTACCTGGCACCTTTGTGCTGTATCGCATTCTATCAAGATCAGTATAAAATGACAATTTATCCTGATAAGCATGCACAGGATTATGGATGAGTTCAATCCAGAGTATGCAGCCTGTCTAGTTGAGTTTCTAAAGACATCGATAATACAGAAACTAACTCTTGTTACTTTTTTTTCTTTTAATAGGAACTGGGAGCTGTGTCCCTAGATGGGTACTTTCATCTTTGGAAAGCAGAGCACACACTATCAAAGGTAGTTTTCTGTTTGTTGGTGTTAAATTTCAAAAATTGCCCAGCAGTTAAGGCTATTCCTTATTCTTCATCTCCTTTAAATGCTTGAAGAAAGAGCAGTAGTGTTTGCAAAACACTTACAAGCTTCATGTAAAATGAAATGTCCTAAAAATTAGAACTTGTGTAGGGAAACTTTCCACTCCCCTTATTTTGGAGTGTGGGAAGTGCTCTTAACTTTAGACAATTCTGGGTTAGCTGAAGTGAACTGTTGCATGGAGTGCAATGGATACTTTATTGGCAGAGTTCATAAAAGAAATTGCACTTATTTAGGTGTCATTGCAGATCAAACCCAGACATATCTATGCTAGTGTATGAGGTAAGCTTTTTCCAGCTGAGAGCTGATGTCTGTGTACACCTGCTAAAGAAATAACAGCAGCTTAGAAAGATATAGAATGATTTACCAAAATGTGCATAGTTCTTCGCATAATACTTGGCTTCAGCCTTTATCATCTCAGTTTGGTTCAGATAAGGCATCCCATCTCCTTCTGTTTTTTTTTCTCTGAGCCAGACTGTTCCTTTTCTCTTAAAGTTCTATTTTTGTGGGGAACACATTTTTTGGCTTCATTTTGTTTTGTTTTGTTTTGTTTTGTTTTTTTTCCACCAGAACTTCCTTGAACATACCTTACTGAATTGTTCTCTTAAGATCCTGCTCTTTTCTTATAAAGGGTTGATTTTTATTTCTTCTGTTTCCAGTTACTTTCCACAAAGTTGCCATACTGCAGGGAGAACGTGTGTCTGGCTTATGGTCAGGAGTGGTCAGTGTATGCAGTAGGATCACAGGCACATGTCTCCTTTCTGGATCCCAGGCAGCCTTCTCACAGTGTTAAATCCGTCTGTTCCAAAGAACGAGGCAGTGGTAAGAAACTTGCCAAAGGGGGCTTCAAACGGTTTGCTTGCAGAAGTATCTATTAAGACTGCAGTAAGATAAGCCTTTAATATATTGGAAGGGGTTTCCATGTGATAGACTAAATTGTTAATAGTATATGTAGGTTTTGCTTTTATGACAGTATTCATTTAACAACCAACAAACCAAATGTGAAAGCAGCTCTGAGATCTAATGATAGACTACATATATGCTTTTATGATCAACTAATTTGTACACCATCCAAATATTACTGAACTTTTAAAAGTGTGCATTTTACTTCTGCTTATTTTTTACTGTGTCTTATTCTGCTTTTACTTATCTCAAAGCAAATCCAGTCTTTGTATCGCTATTTGTTGTTTACTCTTGCATTTTTATCTGGGAATTGGAAAACAGCATGTTGTCTTCTCTTTGCTATTGTATTGTGAGTCTTTGCTGCAAGTGAATGCTTGCTTGGTAATTTTAAATCCGTGAGTGAGACTCTTAATTTTCAATGTGTATTTATGTGCTTTAAATATATAACATCTCACTTTTCAAAAAAAAAAAAAAAAAGTTTGCAGATTTGAATGCTGTTTTCCTTTTCTGATGTGGATCCAGCTGAACCTTACACCAGGGTCAAGTGTGAGGGCTTGCAGGGTGCATGGTCCCATAAGCTTCTTCCCATACCATTTATTTTCAATCATGAGAAGGCACTGTGCTGTGATGGCCATTTTAAACCATATTAATCCCATACTAATAAATTGCAGTCCTTATTTCATTTGGCTATAGGCATCCATCTCTTCATCAGGCAAGTTATCAAAAGAGAATTAACGTAGGCAAGGTTTAGGAAAGTTTTATTTATGTGGTTACTGGAGTTTAAACTGTGCGGTCTAGATAAACGTCAGGATCTGCTTCTTTCAGCTACAGGAGAAGCTTCTGTAATATGAGGAAAGGTGCTTCACCAGCTTGTGTTGTTACCTGAACATCTTACCACTAACAGCCCTTACCCTGACCCACTGTCAGCGAGGGCTCTATGGAGGTCTTGACACTGTTACCCTTCAGTATCGTAGGGAAGAAATACCAAGACACTGGAGTGTAGTGCCCTGTGGTGGCTGCTGGCTGGAAGCTTTTGTGTGAAGTATGCGATCATCCCTGCTTGGGGGATCACATCTCTGGGGCATCTTTAATCTCTAGCTCATGCCTGGAGAAGGCCTTTGTTCAATGCTGTTTTCTGTTCTGCAGATACTTTTTTTTTCTTTTTTTTTTTTTTTTTTTGCATGGAGGTGGAGGCAGTTAAGTAATATTATTTTGCAAGATACCAAGAGTTTCAACTTTCTGTTGATCTAACTGTGACTTGGAGTGGTGCAGCACCTCCAGAAAGTAGGCTCTTTATTGATTTGTGGACTAAATTCAGGGTTGACTTTTAAGTGCTTTGAAGTGTTAACTGAATGCACTTTCAGCTTCCAAATGCACCTGCTGAATTTAAGTCCGTATTAACTTCAGATCGCTAGTGTTGTATACATAAACAGGTTAGAGAAAGGTTGTTGTCACTTAGTATGATTGGAACAGGTTTTTACTCAATGTAACCCTATCGCTTCTACATGAGAAGGTAGTTAATACTTTTCAGTGCATCTTGTAAGTATTGCTTTTCTTAGCAGCTATATAGGGAAGTGCAGGCCTTGAACTCTAATTCTTGATCTGTGAAAGCAACTGCTTTCTGCTCAGCTGGCATGCAGTGCAATGTCTCATGCCCTTGACTTTATATCCTGAAGGCAGCAATGTTAATGTAGCGGACAGAGCTTGAGCGACACGGACTCTGTGTCTGCTCCTTATGTAGGACACCCTACTGAGACTTCATTTCTTTCTGGGATTTGTAAAGCTCTCTTGTGTCTCAGGAGTGAGTCTGAAATTGATGATCCAAATATTCCAGGTCCACAGGTGGTAGAGTGCTGGCTATGTTGGAGAGCTTACTGTGATCAATTCTAGGCACAGGTTGTGCTTTTAGTTTGATGGGAATGATTAATCTGAGGTACTTCATCCCATTCGGAGCCAATTTGAAGTGCAGTTCTTGAAAGCCAGTTCTAAACATCCTCTTAGTAGTGGGTACATCACAGATTCCTTCACTTAATTTTTTTGATTAGAGAAAGATCCACAGTTGTTCTGCATTTTACAGCTTTTTATTAATAAATTGCATTGAAAAGTATATGCCACCTGCTTTCATACTCTCGTCACCTGTTTCTGTTAAGTATTCTGCTGGGTTGCTTGTCAAGAGCACTTTCGGAGCAAAAATAAGAGTATGTCCCCTCTTGTGGCTTTCTCCTATTATCCCAGTGACTGCTCTTGTTGATTGCAGAGAGCTTAAAGCTTTCTGTATGTATTTGCCAGAGCCAAGCCCTTGTAATGGGTGAGAGGGGAGAGATATCTCCAACTTCTCAGACGCATTTGTAGTTCTTTAAAGTAAAGTGGAGATTCTTGTGTAACTCTGGTAAATCTACTTCAACAGGTGTGAGACTTGCACAGTGGTTTCCCACCTATTAAGCCTGCAGCCAAGACTTCACCTCACAGCTGGAGCATGACAATGTGGCTTTGCCTGTTCTAAGTGTGTGTCACAGATGCTTGTGGCCGTGAATGTAACATCAGGATGTGGAGGCAGAAGGATGAGGATGTGTTTCTAGTTAGGACTTTGTACAAAGAGGAAGGGGAAACTCCCTGGCTGCATCCATACCTCTCGGATGCTTGCTGTCAAGTGTACTGCTGGGTGTACTCCAGTATGCTACAAGTTTTGTGACATTCAGTCCCACTTGGTACGGTGACAGCAGTTGGCACGTGGATGTAGCTGGCGTAACTTACTCTTCCCCTTCTGTTGAATGCTTGTTTATGCTGTAATTCAGTGGTAGTTTAAAGGGACTTTAAAAGCCCTAGAGTTTATAACCTGGAATTCTGTTATGCAGGAAGGAAAAGCATAGATATGGTGGGGTTTAATCTGTGTCGAAGAGTTGTCTGGGGTAGATAGAGTGCTTACATAGAACAGACCTTTTGCACAATAAATAGAGATGAGATGACAGGACATTTTGCAAGTTACAAGTTTCTACATACAGAATCTCCCCAAGACTATTTCCAAGGGATCCCTGTTTAGCCAAGGCTTCCGATTTAGATTTTATGAAAACAAAATGTACTCTTTTACTCAATCTAATGGTATAACTGAATTGTGCTAGAATGTTTTGTTTGGACTGGAAACCTGCTCTAGCTTCCCATGTGCTGGTGGAACATGGTGTTGCTTAGGTTGCAGGATTCCTAGTCTGTTTTCCTTGCTGGGTGAAGTGCTACATGTGCCAGCTTCAAAGAGTAAGGTGTTCTTGTGTAAGAACATTTGAGTGGAGATAGCTTAAAAATTATTTAAGAGCCTGATCTATTTTAGCAGCAAAGTGACTAATGATTATTATAGTTATGCTTGCTTACAGCTAGCCTGTTGATTAGCAAAATGCATTTGGTGGCAGCTGGGATAGTACTTTTTCTCACACGGTCACTTATCACACTTGGCAGGCAGGTAGATAGGGTGTGAGCTTGTGGAGGAAACCAATGTGACATTCTTTCCCATCTGCTGCCACATACTTGCTCATCGTCTGTTCGCTTAGAACAACCTTGCTCACGGTGTGTTCGCTTGTGGCAAACAAACCAAAGCTGCTCTTGATCCTAAATGGCTTATGATCTTTGCTTATCTGGCAGAGCTGCGGTCTGCTGAGAATGAAGCTTCTTTCTATGCACCATCAGTGTAGCTGATGGCCTCAGAGGAGACGGGAAGCAGTATATGTAATTGAAGCTGCTGTTTCAGTGGCATTAATGGGATTTTTCTGCATTGCTCCATAGCAGTCGGGAAACTTATGTGTTGTGGAGAATACTAGCAGGTAGTTCCTCTTGAAGAAAACATTAGACATCAAGCAGCAGCACTGCAGAGCCAAAGCATCCATCTTCCTTACTGTGTTGTATGTCCCTCCTCTGCCTGACAGGTATTCGATCAGTGAGCTTCTATGAGCACATCATCACAGTGGGAACAGGGCAAGGTTCCTTATTGTTTTACGATATCAGAGCCCAGAGGTTCCTGGATGAAAAGCCCCCACGTGCCTGCCATGGACAGAAGCAGAAACTGGGAGGAGGTGAAATTTTGAAGTTGACTACTGGGAAAGGCTGGCTGGTGAGTAGCTTGAGGCTGTAGGAGACCCTTTACACAGGAGTGCCATAGGGCTCAAACCAGTTCTTATTATAGTAATGAGAGCTATTGTATAAAATGCATCTGGGTAAAACAGGTATTGTGTAACTAATAACTGTAAGCATAAAAAGCAAGAGGTGCTGCAGAATTGCTTTCTGTGAAAGCTTGAAAGGGTGTTGAGGGTTGGTTGCTTCAGAGTAAGGCATACTAACTACTGTTCTTAGTCACTAATTCATAAATAAACTAGATTTTATATCTCTATATTTTTGAATGTCATCTAACTTCTAGTTTTCAGAACCTCAAACACAAAAGATGTTGCCTTCCTTTAAAACTATGCTACTCTAACATGGTACTCAAAGTAAGAGAGATTCAATTTAATTGTGTGCAATTTCAGAAACTGGCTTCCTGCAGTAATGCCATAGCGGGCACTTGAGTTCAATTTCCTGTATGTTATCATAAATCAGTTAATGGCTTTGTCTAACTTCTCTCCATTATCTTTTGTATGACTGTGATGTAACTTTTAAAACTAATGAAACTTGATATCTTCCCTACCTTTCACCTCCCCACTCCAGTGTTTGGCTCAAATGTCCTCAGAAAGTTTCAGGACAACTCTGGTATCTTGAGGTTGATCTGTCTGAAGCTTCAGGGAATATTAACAGAAAAGATCGCTTTTTTGGCTCTGGAAGCTACCTTCTGCTTTTGTGAAACAAGATTTTGGGTTTGTTTGGCAACAATAACAATCTAAACTTTCCTTTAACAGAATCATGATGAAACCTGGAGGAATTATTTTTCTGACATAAATTTCTTCCCAAATGCTGTTTACACCCACTGCTACGACTCTTCTGGGACGAAACTGTTTGTGGCAGGAGGCCCCCTTCCATCAGGACTTCATGGGAATTATGCTGGTCTCTGGAGCTAATGATAACTCTTTATAAATGCTGATCTTTACACAGATTTCCATTTTATTTTCCGTTTTTTAACAACAAAATTGTGTGATGTCACTGATTTCTGATTTAAATACAAGTTATTTTTTGGCTGAGTTTTCTGTTGGTCTCCAACAGTTTTGTACATCTTTTTGAACCAGCTTTTTGCTTTAACCTCCTTGATCCTTTATATGAAGGGGATTTGAAGTCCCTTTTTATTGTATTTCTCCAAATGACCCTTCCCCCACATTTAGGCTATCTTGGCCGCATGCCCCCTCCCCTACTTTGCTGTGAGGTAGGATTCCTTTCTTACAGAGTGGTTGCTCCTGGGCTTTCTGTGAAAATCTAGGGGTTGCGTGTGTGCAGGTACTTTGTGTCAGTTACATTACCTGAAGTGAGGACTACTTGTAATTAAAAATATTAAAATATTTATAAGAGATAAGCTACTACTTTATCTGCAGAGCCTGGCCCTGGCCTGGGTTGATCTTATTTTTTAAAAGTACAAGTCTAATGACACTGTTTATATGTAGAGGAATATGGTAATTTTAAGCTGCACTCATTGAAGCCCAGGGATGGATTCCCCAGCTGTATTACCCATCAAGCCCGAACTGCAGAAATGCAGGAGTTCTCAAAAGTGCATTTGTATTTGAAATGTAGTTTTCAGCAATGCCAGGAGCAAAAATTGATCTTCTAGTCCTTTTCTGCCTGTCCCTGGTATCAGCTTGCACAACTGGAGTTAGCATAGGCTGTTCTGCAGCATGGCTATTGCAGAATGACATTATACTGAGGGCCTGCAGAGGTGCTGAGAGGAAATGGGGAGAATGGACATGAATGTTCTTATCATTCAAAATGAGCTAAATCTAACCATTTTCCAGATGAGCCAAGGTTCCCAAGTATGCTGCTGTGGTAGCTCATGGGTGCTTCATAAACTGCCTAAAACCCAGGACCCCTTTTGTCCCAGCTTGTGGAAACTTCCCATTTTAGCTGTTCTGGTTGGCCATCTCCTCTAATAAGCCAATGGAATAAATAAACTCTTTTTTTCTCCAAGGTTAAAGAGTGCTTCTTGGACCTAAGTAACGCAACCTAAAGGCTTTCCATTTGGCAAGACACCTTGCTATTAGCTCACGTTGCGCTAGTATGTGCTGTCATCCTGCTTGCTATAGGAGAGT